TGAGCCAGTCTGCTTTTGAGGTGAGCGTGACTGAGATTTTTCCATTGACTCGGACCTTTTTGGTAAGGACTTGGATCTTGACCTTCCTCTAGATCCAGAATTCCTTCTTGGTGTTCTTGACTGCCTTGATGAGGTAGACTGCCTTGGTAGTGATTTGGAGCGAGATTTAGACTGACTGTAAGAAGACCGCCTGTGTCGAGACCTGAAAACATGTGTGACATTAGAGCATGTACTTTATACAAGACAACAGGTTAAGAGACAGTACTTCCGGGCATGCTTTATATTGCACTGAATATGTGCAATGGTTTGAATATGAAATATACCCCCACAGGTGCTGTCAAGATGGCTCAGTGGCTAAAAGCACTTGCTGCTCTTCCAGAGGATCTGGGTTCAATTCCTAGCAACCCCATGCTCAGGCACACACAACTGTTTGTAACTGCAGTTCCAGAGGATCTGGAACCTTCTGTCCTCTGAAAGTATTGCATACATGGGAGGCACAGACATACATGCAAGTAAAAGACCCATACTGGTAAAATGAAAACGAAAAGGAAAAGAAAATATCCTCCCCAGACTCAAGTATTAGGGGCCTGGTTGCCAGCCAGTGGATTCTGAGGGCTCTGACTTTATCAGTGGGTTAGTCCCTTGATGAACTCATAGTGTATGGCATCATCAGGAGGAGGTGTAAGGTAGAAGGTGAGGCCTTCTTGGAAGTAGTGGATCACTGGGGGTGCTTTTAAAGCGCTAGCTCTCTCTGTCTCTCTCCGTCTCTCCTCTCTCCTCTCTCTCTTTCTCGGTCTTTTGAACCAGGGTTTCTCTGTGTAGCCCTGGCTGTCCTGGAACTCACTTTGTAGACCAGACTGGCCTGGAATCCAGGGAATCAGGGATCCACCTGCCTCTGCTTTCCAAGTACTGGGATTAAAAGCATGTGCCACCACTGCCTGGCAACAGCTGTTTCTTATCACCTGTTCTTTCCTCCAGGCTTACTGTTTGCCATGAATTGAGCAGTTTGCACCATAAGGTCCCTGGGCACGAGAGTCTGTCTCACCTCAGGCTCACAGCAATGGACCTAGCCTCCCATGGGCTGGATCCTCTGAAACTCTGAGCAAGATAAATCTTTCCTCCCTAAGTTCTTCTTGGAGATGTTTGTTATAATGATTGGAAATCTGATTAACACATTATATTTTAATAAATTAGTGACAAGACACTCTTTTTCTTGGCAGCACTGGGTCTAGAACCTGGGGCTGTTGTGGAATATTGATTTAAGATGTGTTACATTTGTTTCTGCTGTGGTACATTTGTTTAATGATGCAAAGATGTGTTACATTCTTTTATGTTGCATTTGTTTAACTCTGTAAAGCTGTGTTACTTTGCCTGTCTAAAACACCAGATTGGTCTAATAAAGAGCTGAATGGCCAATAGCTAGGCAGGAGAGAGAAAGAGATGGGGCTGGCAGGCAGAGAGAATAAATGGGAGGAGAAATCTAGGGAAGGGAGTGAGCAGCAAGAAAAGGAGAGGCAGACACCAGGGGCCAGCCACTCAGTCACATAGCTGGCCACGGAGTAAGAAGGAAAGAAAGACACATAGAATAAAGAAAGTTGAAAAGCCCAGAGGCAAACAGTAATTAAAGAGAAATGGGATAATTTAAGTTAGAAAAGCTGGCTAGAAACAAGCCAAGCTAAGGCTTAACATTCGTAAGAATAAATGTCTGTGTATTTATCTGGGAGCTGGGTGGTGTGCCCCTAAAGAGTAAAAAAAGAAAAAGAAAAAAACTACACGGGGCCTCGTGTTTGCTAGGTGAATACACCAAACCACAGCTCCAGTCCTAAAAGAAATCCTTCTAATTTTATCACTCATGCTTTTGGCTCAAACATAAGTAACCAGTCTGCAATACCTGTTATACTAGAATATATGTCCAAAATATTTTTACTGTGTGACCCTGTGTCATAGGCCATAGTTCTGCAAAAAGTCCCATAAATTTAGATTGGGTTAAGCATTCTCTCTGTCTCTCTGTGTGTCTGTCTCTGTCTGTCTATCTGTCTCTCTCTGAGACAGGGTCTTGCTGCGCAATCCAGTCAATCTCAATTTTGTGATTATCCCGTCCAACCTCACAAGTGCTGGAATTAAAGACATGTACCCAGCACCCAGCTGGGTTAAACAACTGTTAACAGGCATAAAAATCAGAAGAAAAAAAACCTCACAAATAGGGAAATAAAGAAAACAATTCTTTAAAGTTCATAAACAATGCTTGTAAAAGCAAAACCTGCTATATGAGCTAGCGTGATGGTAAATGCCTATTGTCCCAGCTTTCCAAGAGGCTGAGGCAGGAGGATCTCAAGTTCCAGGCCAGCCTTGGCTACACAGCGATACTCTCTATCAAAAGAAAAGCAAAACCCTCCTCACAACACTTATAATCTGAAAGCATTAGAGAATAAAAATAAACAAAACTTGAGTTACAAGCCTCAAGAGATCAAAGCTATCAAAATGGCTGGGACTTAAGAGACAAAATTCCCAGAGATGAGGGCATTGCAGACCCAAAACTCCTAAAATCTGCCCCAAATTCTGCAGAAGTAAAAGGCTGTCTTTATTTTTAATTGTGTAGTGGTGGTGGTGGGGTATGTGCATGTGTTGGAATGGGGGTGGGGGAGTGGTGGCACCCGTGTGTGAGCATGCAGAGACTAAAGGAGAACGTCTGTTACTCTGTGGTAATTTGCCTTCTTTAAATTCTTTATTTTAATTTATATATATATATATATATATATATATATATATATATATATATATATTTGAGACAGTGTAGCTTTGGAGCCTGTCCTGGAACATGCTCTGTAGACCAGGCTGGGCTAGAACTCACAGAGATCCACCTGCCTCTGCCTCTGGAGTGCTGGGATCAAAGGCGTGCGCCATCACCGCCCAGACACCACTGGGTGTCTTACTCTATGGCTTTCCACTTTATTTTTGAGACAGGGTCTCTCGCTGAATCCAGCTCTCACTAATTGTCTAAACTGGCTGGTCAGCTAGCTCCAGGGAAATGCCTGTCTCTGCTTCCTCCAGTGCTGGGCCTGCAGACACATGGCACTGCGTCCAGCTCTGCCTTGGTGCTGGGGGTCCAAGCTCAGACTCTCAAGCTTGCACATGGGCACTTCGCCAACCGAGCCTCCTCCCTAACTCCACAGTGCAGGCGTACTGGTTTTCTTGTTCTCTTCTCTCTGTTTATTTGCTTGCTTGTTTTTTCAGCCTGGCACACATGTGCCCTGGCTAGTCTGGCACTCTGTGTAGCTGAGGGTGGCCTCAGATTCCAGAGCCTCCTCCTCTACCTTTCAATTATCACCACATCCAGGTATCCGGATCATACTTTAAGATCAGAATTCACTTTAAAATTCCACAGTGAAAAAGTTAAAGCATTAAACCATAAATGTTCAAGGGAATTTGGGCTTGACAATCCAGTTTCAATGACTGTTTCAGTAGTATCAACATTTAATTTCCACCGTGGTTTACTATGTTCTAATAAAATAGATACAGATTCCAAAGTAGAAAAACAGGTAACTTGCAAATGTTACTTCTTAACAAACTTACTATTTTCTTGTCTCCTTTCTATAATATGGGCATAGCTGGAATTGATTCTTAATAAAAATACATTATCAATTTATAAGAATAAATTGTGCTTGGGAGGCAGAGGCAGGCTGATCTCTGAGTTCAAGACCATCCTGGTCTACAGATGGAATTCCAGGACAGCAGGGATATACAGAGAAACTCTGTTTTGAAAAGCAAAACAAACAAAAAAAGAATAAATTGATTTTACTTCAGTCAACCTCCTTTCTTCAATAAACAACTGTAGTACAGTTTTTTAGTTTACTCCTTTTCAAAAGTCAAGATTCTGAATTACTGGGTTCATTTAGGAAAATTTTACTTATCTAAAATTCCTAACCTTGTTTGTTGAGTATATATTATTTTATGTATTTATTTTTGAGATAAGGTCTTAGTGTGTAGCCCCAGTTGGCCTTGATCCTGGGGCTTAATATCCTGCTTATTCCATTCTTGAGTACTGGGGGTAGAGGGCACATGACACCCACAACATCCCGCCTCTGTTTCCCCACTTTGGGGGGTATATATTATCTTTCTTTTGTGGGGAGGGGAGTCTGAGACAGATCTAGACATGCCTGAGTTAGCCTGACTGAATTCTAGATCTTCCTGATTCTGCCTTCCAAATGCTGGGTTTCTAGGTATGTGCCACTATGGCCAGTTTCATAGAATCTATTTAAAAAGTTCAAATTAAGTCAAATCCCCTGACACTTCAAACGGTTACTGAAGAACACTGGAATATATCCAGTGAATCCAAGCTGACAACCATATATGAGCTAGGTGTGGTGATGTATGCCTGTAATCCCAGTACTTGGGAAGACGAGGCAGGAGAATCATCTCAAATTTGAGCCCAGCCTGGGCTAAATAGTGTGTTCAAGGTGAGCTTGGATTATACAGCACCTTTAAAAGGTTAGGCAATGGTGCACATCTGTAAACCCAACAATGGGATGTGGTGGAGTGGAGAGAGTGGATTCCAGGTCACTGGCCAGTCAGTCTGGCCTAAAGGTTGAGCTTCAGGTGAAGTGAAAGACCCATTACCAAAACCCAAGGTAGAGAGTGATCAAGAAAGACATAAACCTCTAACCACACGCATGCATGCACACCCACACGCCTTCATGTGCACACACATACATAAGCATGTACTTATAACGCACACAACCAAAATAACAAGAGCCTGTCTAAAGATAAAAAGTTTGAAAAGGAGAGGGTGCTGGGAATATAGCCCCCATGCCTGTGGAGGTGTAGTAGAGTACCTACGAGCATGTGCCAGGTCCTGAGTTCAACCCCACTGCCCAGGAAAACAAGCAGAACCAATGCATGATAGAGAAGAGCATATCTTCCTACAAAAGTTTGTTTGTGCATATTAAACAAAACCATCATCTAAGTAGCCCGACCCCAGTATTCTTTAAAATGTTTTCCAGAAAACGTAGACAATGAAGCCGTGCACAGCTGCTTTCAGAACTCACTCCTTCAGGCTGTCTGACCGCCTCCGGTCTCTTCCCCAGGATGAACTTCGACTCCGAGATCTCCTCTGGCTGGGGCTCCTGGATCGCCTGTGGTTACTTGGAGAGCACAGGTGGCGTTCTTTGGACTTCATTTGGCCTGGTGCTGGAATACGAAGAACAAGGCTTCTAATGGTTCCCTACCTGAAAACCACAGTTGCTGCCACTCAGTCGATATCACTTTCTGAAGAACTTTAAGTAAAACGCTACTGTTGCTGAGGCCCATTCTGTTAAGTAATCGAGAGCTAATGGTCATTTACACTTACTTTTGCGATCACCTTGTGCAAACTGTATTTCAATTTGCCGGCCACATACCCACTTCCTATTGAGGTTATAAAGGGCATCTTCAGCATCTCGAACATCTTCAAACATGATCAGCTGTTAAGGACACTTTGGACATCAGATGGTAAGTAAAAATATTTCTAGGGTATTATTTACATGTGAAATTAAGTTACAGGAAAACCAAGTTCTGGCTCCAATATCAATAACCAGAAAAGCTTTTGTATTTTATTATGAAAACAAATCCCCTCTTGTGATTTAGAAACATGAATTTAAAAAAGGAACAGTAGTTACAATTAGCAGCATAATTTGAAATGTGAGAAAAAATTAATATCAAATTAGTTGGCATTTTACAATAAACTGTTTAGAGCTTATACCCAACCCCCTTTTCAGAGAAAGGATCCATCAGGGTTTTCACTGAAAATATCAGTGTGCAGAAGCTTTTATTCTGTAAATAAAAGTACTCTATCACTAAAAGTCTAGTTATGAAATTTAGGAGAAATGACTCATAAACAAAACTGCAACAATAAAAGTAAGCTAACCCAAAGGACTACTTTGGTCCTTTGAGGATGGTGCCCACCTTTGAACCTACTACTTTGAACAGTCCCTTAGGTGTTACTACTGGGATGTAAGTATGAAATAACAGGAAAACAGTTAGGTCTCAAAGAAACCTGGGAAATGGCTGAGGTGCCTATTAACATATCAAAGTGGATGCTGGCCACCTTCTTTCAGCTTTGCAAGTACCTGTTACAGAGTCATCCTGGCTGGCATACCCTACCCCCTACCCTAACCAGTCTGTCCCCTTCCTTCATCTCCCCTCCCCTCCCCTCCTCTCCCTTCCCCTCCCCTTCCCCAGCTTTTCTTCCCTCTACAAGACAACTAACTATTTTGGATATATGCTCTCTTGGCCTCTTGGGTCCTAGTTCCTCTCTTGCCCCTCCCCCCATAGTCCAGTTCAGCCTGGGCCCTTCCAGATGCCCCTGGGCTGTTTTCTCTCTCATGTCTACAATGAGGAAAAGTCCTCAACTATATATAGGAGCAGTAGTGTCCTCATTTTTCATTCAAAAACAATCTGTGACCATCTGGAATCACATATCCTGATTTGAAATGCTCCACTAAATTCCCTCCTCTAGAGCATATGATCCCAAGCCTTACTATAATGGACAATAGCTGTGTAAAATGGACGTAGCTGTATTTCAGGAGGTTGCTTACTAGCTTGTTCTCTCTCTCTTGAGACGGGGTCTCATTTTATAGCTCTGCCTGGCCTGAAGCTCTATATATAGACCAGGCTGTCCTTGAACCAACCGCAATCCCTCTGCTTCCCAAGCTCTAGGATTAAAGGTCTGAGCCACCATGCTGGGCCTTGTTACTAGTTTCTTAAACTAACAAACAAAAATGCTCAAAAAATGCACACAAAAGGAGACTGGCAATGACCTCAGGGACACTGGGTCTTGAACATTTAACTCTTTAGGACTTGCAAAGTGGACTTTTCAGAGATGTAGAACCAATAAAATCAGATTTAGCTTTGACTCCAGAACTCTGAATAAATGTAGGAAAGCCGGAAGTCTCAAAAACTATCTGTCTTTTGCTTGATAAAGGCCTCATTCTTCCAGGCTTTACACCTGTGTCCACCCTCCCTCTTTACTCTGCTCCAGCTTAGGTGCCTTTTGTCATGCTAGGCTTATGGTTGGAGTCTAGCTAACAAGCTGGCCCAAACTGGGGGTATGGGAGCACTTGCCAGCTACTGTGGACTCTTTTAGATTTTCTGAGATAAACATTAGACAATGTCGATCTCATAACATACACCCCTAAATACATATAAGCCCATGTATATTTGCATGCACATATAAAATAAAGGATATTGAACATAAGCGAATCCTCGGGGGCGGCGAGTGTAGAAGTCAAGTGGGATGTAAACATCTACTATGGGGCCATATCGACCAAATTCTCGGCGTAAGTCTTCAGGCCTGGAGTGGTATAGAAATAAGGCAAAGAAATATAAATAGCTGGAATAAACACTTTGCCTACAGAAATCCAATTGAAACTTTCAAAATAAAATGTATTGTTGGGCCAATGAGAGGGCTCAACTCAATGGGTATGTAGCTAAGCCTAAAGACCTAAGTTCAAAACCTTACACCCACATGGTGGAAAGAGAGAACAATCTCCTCTAGCTGAAAGTTTTCTTGTGTCCCACCTGGCTGGCGGTCAGGACAAATCTCTCTCACCTGCCACTCCAGCAGCTGCTCAGATGCAAATACACACACACAGGCTAATATTATTTTTAAACTATGGCCATGGCAGGCTTCTTGCTATCTAGCTCTTATATCTTAAATTAACCCATTTCTGCCGGGCGGTGGTGGCGCACGCCTTTAATCCCAGCACTCGGGAGGCAGAG